TACACAGATATAATGGACATTCATCTGTATCCCCTTTTTTGGTTAAGTTCCATTATTTGAATATTATAGGTGTGTAAACTCAGCAAAATATTCTAAAAGAGTCCAGTAGCCCATAATAGCATTGGGTCTTCTGCTTAAATGGCAATGTCAGAAATTGTTAACCTGAGTCTCCCACAGCTCAACATAACAGCATGGCTTTACTTCTCATATTTCGTTTTTATACTTTTCTGCTGGCTGGTTAAGACCAAGGTAAAGCAGGACCTATACAACAAGAGTTGTAGCTTTTGAATCTGATAAGGTCAATGAAATCCCCTCAGGATTTATCCTGAGATCCTGTACCTCAGATTGTAGACCCTTTGTCAGCGTCAGCATGTGGATGAGTCATGGCCATTGCTTGGCCAATGTGCTCTCTGTGAAAGCCTGAGAGAGTGTTTTCTCTCCATGTGACTCTCCTTAGGCACACTCTACATCATCGATCACTTTCCTCTTTGGCCCCATCACATCTCAGTTTTGTTATGTACAGAAATGGTACAGAGGAGACAGAGACGCACACTGGCTCTGGAGGCTAAGGTATGGGGGAGCTCTCAGCAGGCCACTTGGAGCCCTGCCACGTGGCAGGGGAGAAGTTGTGCCCGGAACTGGTAAATATGGCAGGTGTGAGAAGACTAGAAAGCTCACCCCCATGTATCAAGGTCCTACACACAGAGTTTCAGAGACAAACACTAGACCCTGGAGCGGTCATACATTCTCACAGAGAAAAGCATTAGATATAGAATATGCTGGGGAAGCTGCCTGTTATCAAATTAGAGGGGACTGAGGCTAACACTTGGCTCAGCAGCTTTCTTTTTTAGACAATAAAGAAATCACTGGGCGCAGGAAAGAGTATTGCCAGCTTTAAATATCTACAAAGTATCTGTCTGTCTGTCTGTCTGTCTGTCTGTCTGTCTGTCTGTCTCTCTGTCTATGATATGCTATCCTCGTTTGCTCTATTATTAAGTGAAAGATTAGAAATGAAAGATTAAGGCCAGCAGTTTCATCATGGACAAACACTGGTGTATCTATGGTTTGACAACAGAGGCATAAATATGGGGGAACATGGCGGTATAGTTAGTGTAATGGCTTATTACCAGGTCTCGGGGTGAAACATGATAAATTCCTCCAGCCTATGTTTAGATCAATAACAAGTGGTATTAAACAATGTAGAGAAAGTATAATTCAATCAAGAAACCTGTAAGAAACTGTCATTTATCTAAGCAGTAAGAGGATTTTTATCATTAGCTGGTAGTACTGTCCATAATTAACCCAGAAAGATTTTTAAAATTTCTGATATGTGTTTCAGGAACTAGACCATATGACAATTCCTTAATCATTCCCGTTTTACGTATGAGGGAACGCAGGCCAAGTACGAATAACCTGCTTGCACGACGTCATTCAGACCAGAGTTCCTAGGCTGGGAGTCTAGCTTAGGTTGGTTAATTCAAGCCCTTTCTAAAATTAAGAGAGAATAATATTATTCTTCTTTGGCAAAGTTATATATTTTTTCTCTTAGTTTACTTATCAGGTAAGATTATTTGAATTTTTACTGTGGGTCAGGAATTTTTTTAACGCTGATGACTGGCAACTTCTGTTTACTGGCCCCCACGTTCTTCAGGGAGAATCTGTATGTAGCCTTTCATTTTGGATTTTTATGGGCAGCGTTGTGGATACCTTTAAAGGACACACAGCTTGTTGACTGCACGAGGAGACTGGTGCACTTTTCTTGTCACTCAACCTGTGGCTCTATGTCTTCAGCAGACACCCACTCTGCTGCAACACCATGGGGTACAGGCTCAAGGTTGCTTCATTCATTTCCATCTGGACATTCATGAGTTCTTACAGTTTAAAAGTATATTATAAAAATTAGGCTTTAAATGTAGATATATTCTGCAAGACTATTTTGACCTGTAGAGGCTTTCATTAGTAACCATAATCCTGCTATGAAATCTGCATTTTTCCTTCCAAATCATACAAGGGTGTCGTGCTCAGGACCCTCAGCCACGGCACTGTGGCACCTCATGATGCTTGTTCACCAAGGTCATTTATAGGAGTAACAACTGGGTGAATAATGTTTGGTAATTCAGGCAAAGATATGCCGCAGTCATGCTCTTCCTGAGTAAGTGTAGTGCTCTAGTCTATGCTACACAAGTTCAATACAAGCTCACAAGTACATATAGTATTCTTTTTAGATTTACAAAATGAGTTCCTCCACTTGCATGTGGCAAATATAAGGTTAATTTAGTTCAAAGGTAAGCCTTAACAAACATGTCAGAGCATATACTTGAAGCTATATTTCGTATTTATTATGAAGTTATGAATTAAAAGGCTTAATTTAGCTCCATGAAATTGCTATATTCTTCCCTAATGAAAAACATCAAACAAAATAAACAGAGGGGCAAAGTAGAAATAAAAGTTAGCTTAAGATGCTGAATTTAAATCACTTAAAGTGGATGACTCTAAAAATTACCTAACTTTCTGTTACAAAGAGTCAGATATTATTTGACACTTTAAAAATGCATTGATTAGTCTATTGATTGCAATTGTTTTGGAAATCTGTGTTATCTGAGATGTTATAGCTTGAGTCTCTCAAAGCTCATGTGTCGAAGGATCTGTCCCTGATGTCATATTGCTCTGAGGTGGTAGGCAATTGGACAATGAGCGCTCTAACCTTGTCAATGGCTTCATCCACTGCTGTGTTCTGGCTCAGCAGGCCATTAGGAGATGATGGGTAGAAAAAGGTGGGGCCTACCTGGAGGACATGGCTCACTGCAAGCATGCTTTGAAGGCTGTGCTTTGGCCCTGCCACTTTTCTCTCTGTAGCACTCTCTCTCTCTCTCTCTCTCTCTCTCTCTCTCTCTCTCTCTCTCTGTTTCATCTGTCTCTCTCCCTCTCTCTCTCTTCTAATACAAACACCATATGAATATTCTGAAAATGAAAAAAGAGAGATATCATCTAATTTCTGTGGTCACCATTTTTTTTCTTTGCACAAAGTACTCTGACTTTAGCATAATGAATATTTTTAGGTTAAAATATTTGCTGGCTGGTCTGCAATCAACAATATTCATATTATTATGAGAATACTGCATAGGAGATATTGCATCTTTTCTTATAAGAATTCAAACTGCTTTAGTGTCACATTAAATTCTTAAGTATCCATCATATAAACCATGACAGACCTGGAATGCGGTATGCAGAACATTTATCTCCTATGTGAATAGTTACAAAGTTACATGTATTGTTACTAAAATATTTAGTAACAAAGATCAAATGCTATTGTATCTAGAGTGTGTATAAAGAAGCTAATAAATAAAATTAATGTATGCTGTTCTTCACATAAAAGATTTTGGGAAAAATAATAAAATGTCTCTGATGCTCAAATTAATGTCAAATAGTTGAAGCCTTACTGCCTCTTTTTGGGGAAATACTCAGTTTTTCCAAGTTTATTTGGTCTACTTTAAATGTATTTAGGTAACTAATTTCCAGCCTAGACTCTGAGAAATTTATTTCAAACTTCAGCCAAATTTCTGGTATTAATGATGAAAAACTTGGTAGCTTGATAAACCCACTGCTGGAAGTTTCCATAGCAGGAGCTTGAGCAAGGGGCTGGTCCCAAATGAAAGTGGCATCGCCTGCATCACAGCACGCATTCCAGAGTAGCATGATTAGATTGACAGGAAGGTCTGTGAGGTAGAAAGCAGAGCCTCAAGCATGCAAGCCGTTGAGCATCTGCTTACACTCCAGCAAATACCGCCTATTCAGTCACAGTTACTTGATCCCTCCCTGCCCAAGACTATGTCCAATATCCCTGACCAAAGGTCTTCAGAGGAAAAAAGCAAAGGAACAGTAAGAAGACACTAGCTTCCCAAGTGCAAACGTAAATCAGCTTCACTCCGGAGAGCTTCAGAGTCCTGATTGTGCAAGGTCTGACTGCCCAGTGTGGAGCAAGTTCAAACATTAGGATTGAAGGCAGCATCTGAGAATGATTTCGTCTTATAAAAGGAAGAACATGAAATATATTTTAAAACAATGACATTGCACTGTAATACAGAAGCACACGGTAGTTTAATTTAGAATTATCTAGAACTTTCATTATGGGAGCTTTGCTTTACAGCTGTGATGTTTACTACAGGTGATTTTGCATTACTTCAATCTTTACATGGCAAATATTGAACAACACTTAATTTTTACGGTAGGTAAAGTGTTTCATTTTCTCCCTGTATCACACAAAGGTTGAGTCTGAGATTTAAGTTTTGGCCCTGGCTCAACCCAATAATTGAGCATTGGGAAAAGCCAGGCACACACCAGAACGTGTCCTTGTGGCTGACAGTGCTTCCTCTAAGTTCTTTAAAGTTTTATGACTACAGGGGTCACCTACAGAAAGTGATGCCTGTCAGATCCACGAGGCAATGCCGGCCATTATTAAAATGCTTGGGCTGCAAGGCTGCAGGCCTGGATTCTGCTCAGCTGGGTGGGATATTAATCACCATGTTGTCACCGTCCATCCAGCCTGGAGGCTGGGTGCCAGAGCTGTGGGGCTGTGACATTCCTCAGTGAGGTAATACACTGACTCTGCAGGAGCTTCTGCACAAAGGTCATGAAGGAGTCCCAGGGCATGGATATTTGGGTTGAAAAAGCTGAACTGTGGCTTGTCACAGTAACTTATTTAAAAAAGAAACATTTGCATTGTAAGTCAAAAATATATGGGTGGTGCTACGCAGCACAAAACATTAATTGTAAATAAACACTGTCATACATTCTGAAGGTACTTTGATTTCAGTGATCAAATATTACTCATACATTTATTCCTTAAAATTAGCCGAGGACTGAATGTACTGAATAAATTTATTTAAAGTTAAATAATGACAAAATCTCAAAAGAAACAGAAGCAGTTTAATAGTAAATTTTCTTTCCTGCATATAAAAACTTATATCATAGCAAAAATAAACATAAAGTTAAGCATTTACCTTTAGTTTGTATTTTCCTTTCAGGCTTTTCCTGCTTTTCAGTTTTCTCTTTGTGTATTTCTAAGGAAAGATAAAATGTAGAATTTAAAACCTTTTTGCAAAACTCTAAAATTTAAATCTTAACAGTGACCTGTACTTTACAACGTTATCAAGTACAAAATTGTCTATATAACAAGCAGGTCGATGTACAAAAGAAAAGCCTCCGTGCTTAGTTCTCCATCCAAATCACTTATGCACTGAAATGAGGGAAAAACTGAAAATCAGTTACCTGGAAAAGTTTAAAAGCTTACATAGACAGAGCCATGTTCTCACCGCTTTCTATGCTAAAATTGATTCACAAACTATAATTATGTTTTATTTCAATTACTCTCAATATGAATTAAGAGTTTTCAATACGAATGTCATTTAGATTTATGAAGATTTAGTTTTTACATATTAAATTAAGAATTTGTGAAATGAACTGCAACCGCTACCTAATAGGAAATATATCTCAGAGGTATTGACTCAAAGCTGTGTTTATAATCAGCAGTTAGCGTTGCATTTAACCAATAATTGCTTCAAACAGATATGCCACATGCTCCTAAATCAGCCAGTTGTACATTTCTTCCAGATATCAGGTTTCTAACAAATATAGTCAATTTTCTGCCATCTTTAACACACATGTATAACCAAGTCTTAGAAAACAAAGTTAATTCTGAATTTACAGTTCATTTATATAGAAGTAAATTTGAGATTAAAGTTTACAAATATGATTACTACCTCTGGAAAGTGACTTAATCTTAAATATCATGGTTTTTCTTAGAAAAATGTGACTGATGTTTACTTATTTATCTATCACAACTTTATTCCACAGATGGTCTGAGATGGCAGTAATCACTGTACACATTTTTAAAACTCTCCACTCGTAAATGTGCATTTGCATTTCTGTAACTTTTCCAGAAGTCTACTAAATCAAGACCAATTACAGGAAAACCCTAAATAACTTCAAAAAAGACAGATGCTGACTTTTATTTTCCTGCGAAGGAGGAAGCCCACCCCGTGAAGATTTCCTCTCCACAAGTGCTGCCACCAGTTCCTCCTGTCACTATTAGCACCATCTTTCTGTTCTCCCTCATCCCGTCCTGGACTTCATGTGGCCAGAAAGAAGCAGCTGAGACGTGGAGCGCGGGCACAGCTCCGAGTCAGCGCTCTAAGGTCCCAGGAAAGCTCTCAGAAGGGTGCGCACACTCTTGTCTTCCAGCCCTCACACCATCTTGTTTATCACTTTCATTAACGTCTACAAATTCTATCTAGAGCAGAGCATCTCACTTTGGTGTTGTGGCCCTGTTGTTTCGGGCGAATCACTGTGAGGGGGTGGGGTGTGCTTCTCTGCACTCTAGGGTGCGGAGCAGCAACTCCTCCTCCTGCGAGACATCAGCAGTCCCTGTAACCACCTTCAGGCATGACAATGTCTTCAAACATTGCTCAGAGCCCCCGCAGGACAATGGGAATCCTGGCTGACGTTCACCTCTGTAGGCTTGCGCCACCACCAACCTGCCACCTAGTAGCCCTTTGCCTTGGCTACACCTGTGCTATCCAATGGAGCGGCCATTGCACACCAGGCATCGTAAGCATGAGCTACGGGGTGTTCCCGACTGATGTACAGTGCGTGTCTAAAGAATGCACAAGAGTATGAAGCGTTGCTATTAGGAAGCCTTAATTTTGTATTAAAAAGCGAGTCTTTAGTAAATTATAATCGATAAAATTTTAAATTATATTATTTGGCTATATTGATTATGATGGTGTTATAGCTTGGCTGGGCTAATATCCTAAATCATTCAAAGGAACAGCAATCTGGAAGTTACTTAAAGTACTCTGCAGACATAATAAAAACCATCAGTTGACTTTTAGTGAACAGGTAATTCCTGATAATTGGTTAGGTTTATCTGTTTCCCCAGGATGCCTTAAAAATAAGCCTGAGAGAAAGAGAAAAAAATTCCTTCCAGGGCAGAAAGCTTTGGCCCATGTCATCTCCCCGTCCCGACCGCAGTCTCCTGGGTTCAAACTTGCTTCATGGTGTCCATACTCACACAGACAAACGCCCAGAAATACAGACAGTTTGTTGTTTCGTTTTGGTTTTGATTTCCTGGTACCAGAGAGTGAGGCCAAGGCCTTCTCACGGCGCTCTTCCCAGTCTGTTTTTATTTGCTAATGAGAGACGCAATCTTGCCCAGTCGTGGAGCATGCCTGGGCTCCAAAGTGGGATTTTAACATGAAAATGGGGCTTCCTTGTCTCATGATGTTGTACTTTTTCATTTGAGTTTATACTGACATGCTGGATCGAATATGATTAAAATTAATTTTATATTTTCTGTTTTACTTTTTAGTGTGCTTCCCTTAGGAACAGGTGTGCGTATAGAGTACTGTGTGGCTTCCACAGACACCCGCTGGCCACTCAGAAGAGCAAAGGAGGAGTCCCAGAAATCATATGGGGGACCAGGTGGGATGTAGACTCTTCTGCAAGACTCGGTGCTGGAAGCCATCTGGGTGCAGGACGTTGCCAGAGCCTCCCAGGCTAACTTAGGTTTTGGGGAACTTGGGCAGATGGTGGCGAGAGAGAAGTCAGTCCCTGCCGACCTCTGATCTACACTCCAGTTCCTAACGAACAGGGAAAATGTGCAGCAGAGCTCAGAAGGCGGCAGCAGGCGCACAACCTACTCCGGCTCCTCTGCCTCTACACACAGATCCCTATCCTCTTGAAGGAAGTGGGGGGCTGAATTGAAGCAGACAAGAAGTGAGTGTGGGTCCATCCCGCAGGAAAATACAGAAGTTAGTCTGAAAATAGCTGAGATCTAGAACACTGGTAAGGGCTTATCACTGTCGTTGAGTGTTGTTTTTTATTCCAGATTTTTGAGATAACCTCGGAGTCAATTAATGAGTGAATGGATAAAGAAAGCATGTGTATATATGCAACGAATTATCATGCAGCTATAAATGGGGTCCTACCACTTTCAGCAAAGCTCACGAACCTTGAGGACATTGTATAAAGTGAAATAAACCAAGATCCAGAAAGAGAGCACTACATATTCTTTACCATATGTGGAGACTAAAAGATAGCAACCTGCACAGTAGAATAGGCCTCACCCGAGATTGGGAAGGGTGGATGGGGCTAGAAAGAGTGACTGGGTGTGAGCCGTGCATGCTGTGTGCACGTGAGAAAGTATCACAACGAGCTCGTTATTAAGTGTAATTAATCTGTGTTAGTAAGTTTTCTAGGCAGTTACTGTGGGGATCAAGAGATACAGCGGGGCATGAAACTGGAATGAAAAAAGAATTGAGATGCATGTTGTGCACGTGCCAGCTCCACCCAGGAATGTGAGCAGTATGTGCTACAAAGGTGCCTCGGAGGGAGGCCTGGGTAGTGTGGAGAGGGAGGGCAGGAGACAGGGATTTAAGAAGGAATTATGCTGTGTTACACACACGTGCTAACTCCCCATAAGGAAAGTAAGCATTACGTGTTACACACATGCACTAATAAAGTACATAAATAAATTGATAAGCAAAGAAATGTACACTAAATGGAAAAGACAGGGACCAAAGGCATTCTCGGCATCTGTTTGGATTTACACAACAGAAGGTAAATACTTGTGGGTTGGTTGATACATCTCATGTTTTACCTAAGCAAAAAGCTAAAGAAAGTCTGAAGGAGAATTAATCTACAAAGATGGCAATGTATTTCAGAAAATTTTATTTTGTGGTCTGTGATAGAGAGAACCCAGCCTTGGAACCAGAGAGTGCTCCAGAGTGAAGCCCTGGTTTAGCTTTCCTGACTCTGCAGCTTGGCTAAGCAAATACCCACTAGTAAGGTTTCTTTCAATTTAGTCGCAGACTCAAAAGAGATGCTCAGTGAAATTGCCTCAGCTTCAGCAGATGGAAGCAACGGTACAGTGCCTAGCAGCTTTGTTTGTTTTTGTTTCCATTCGCTTATTTATTTCAGGAACATCATCAATTAAACTCTTAACTTTAGCTTCATCAGTATTTCTGGAGAGACAGCTCTGGGCAAACACAGCAAAACTAGCAAAGGGACATCTACAGTTCTTTGCTTACAGAGGGCCAAGACATTTATGATTCAAAGGTAAGGAGAAATTGAATGCATCCACATGCTTTGTGGCTGCATCACACCTTTTTTGGGTCCCTACCTGTGGCTACCCTGGCTCAGAACGGCCCTGCAAGGGCTCTGCTCCTTGCCAACGGTGCCTGCTCACACTGCGTCAGGGGAGGATGACCACTGTGTTCCTGCCCAGCCCAGGAGCAGCGTGTTACCGATTTAAACTTCAGCAAGATCTTTCTTCTCGCATACAGGATCCTGATTTGTTACCTTCAATTGCCTTTCCAGCCGAGAACCTGTTGTATTTTTGGTAAATTAAACTCAAAAGATTGAAGTCATTAAAGACAGAAATGTGTTGTCCTATGGTTTTTAAAACACTTCAAAGAATAAAATTTCCTAAAGTATGAATACTAGCATATTCAAGAATTTCCACAAGAACTGTGCATGCAATGGTCTACAAAGGCGTAAAGCTGAATTTAGCTTCATGCCACTTTATAAGGAACACTTTCTTTAAACCTGAACCAAATTTGAGTACAAAAGAAGGTCACGGGAGTCATTATTTACCTCCAGATATGTGTGATGTAGAACTGGGTGAAAGCCAAATGCCGCAGAAAAGGTGTTAAGTCTCAGCAGCAGATGTCAGTTGGAGTCCTAAGCCATTTTCTAAACTGAACACTCTGAACCTGAAGACTTTGTGACTTCAAAGGACAAAGGACAGGGTCTTTGAGTACAGATGTGAAACTTTTTTATAAGTTTTAAAGGATGAGTTTGATTTGAATTTTGAGAATTAGAGAAAGGAAAAAATAACAGGAAAAAAGAATGACAGTTGTCCCTGCTTGGTAAGAGGCAGTGGAGGGTCCCCTGGAAGGAGTCCTTGACCACCCTGCTGGTCACAGTGAACGCGACTGCTGGAAACATTCTCCTGGGTCCTAAATGGTACCAAAAGCCCCTCAGTGCTTAAGAAAAAAGACAA